ACCAGAGGAGAAAGGCGGGGGGGGGGGGGGGGGGGGGGGGGATGTTGGGTTTGAGGTTTATTTGCGAACAATTTGGCAGTCTTTGAATAAATTATATGAACTTACCACACACAAATAAGCTCAAAATCTTTCTCTGCCCCTCCACCCCTATTTTGTATATTTGTTTGTATCCTTTTTATCTGATTTAACAAAGGAGCTAAAATAAACATCTGCTCTCTTTCAGGGATAAATTTAGGGATTACTTCCAAGTTTTCAATAAGGCCTTTCATAAAGTGGATAAAAATAGAGATGGCTATGTAACAGTATGTGACCTGCACAGGATACTACAAGAATTCAGCTATTACCTTGATCATGATCACTTCAGTAGTCTTCTAAACAGGGTTGTATGATTATCTCCTAAGCACCTCTTTGGTCACACCCAGCAAAGCTTATAAGCTTCTACTTAGTGTTAAGCATATAAGAAGCTCTGTTAAAACTAATGGAGATAGATACCCACATGATTAAAACTGCATATAAGTGAAGAATCTTTTTAGGCAATGTATTGATTCTGCAGGTAATGAGAGTGAAATGGCTTCTTACATAAAAAAGTATGCTTTGAGTATGTGTATTTGTTTGTTAGTTTGTTTTATTTAATTTCAATTTAATAGAGCAAGTGTGTGAAACAGATCCTGTTTAAAATAGAAACAGAATTAAATCAGGTTATAAAATAGCAATAATTTTCCAATGATCCACTGCTGCTGCCATGCAAAACTATGCTTTTAATTCTCTGTGTTATGAGTAAGAAGAAAAATCTCTTTTGTAGAGGCTGAAGAACACAAAGGACCTGCTCCAACATTATGTAGCTGGGGTTCTCTGCACCAAACAGTCCCCCAAAGGTCATATGCCTGGCAGCACTGGGTTTTGTTCTCCAGAGCCTGCCACACCAGACCCTTTTTTGAAATAAAATTAACAAAGTCTTTTCACAGTTCACCTTTAACTGGGTGATCAACTTTTTATGAATTGAAACCTTAATAGGAATCTGCTGCTTGTTTCTTTCTCAAAGACCTCTTGATGATAAACACCTCCATTCATTGTAATTTTGTGCAGATTATTCCTTTCTTGATCCAAAACAGTCTTTTCTAAATAATACAGAGTAGATTAGCATATGCATTTAGTTTTATTACTAAAATTTTAATGCCCACTTGGCAATTTATTTCTCCGCTGAAATGGTGTTGATTATTTCCTTTTCCACACACTGTCTCCAATATTGGAGCCAGCTTGACACGGGTAGTATGTGGGAGTGCTGTGCAGCTGCAAGATGCAAAATCAGGGCTCTTGAATATTTTTTTTCTTACTAGCAGATACGGGGTCTATAGTTAATTTCTTTTCCAGCCTGTTTTATAAAGCTTCCTCTTTGTTTTACTGGCTCTCCCCATTAATTAGACATTCTTGTAACTGGATATTCTGGTGATTGGTAGCTGAGGCATTGGTCCCCAGTGATTTACTGTGGAAACAGATGATAAAAGTACGTTACAGTAATTCAATTTTAAACAAGGAAATCAGGGTTGTGTAGTGGGGCCATCTCCTCTGTCAAGTCTTGGCTCTCTAGGAGTTGTCTTGACCATAATTCTAACAAAAAAGCTGAATGCAAGACTAAAAAAAGTCCAGCCTTTCCCCTGCAGCATAGGAATTGTCTACGTGGGTGTAAAGAATCTATAGTTCTGATAATTGGCTATAAAATTATTAAAGTGTATTAAAAACCTCTCCATAGATGGTAACTGTAAGATCAATCTGGAATAATTCCAGGGGAGCCAATGGATCTGTATCAAAAACACTCAACGTATACTGTAGTCTGGAGACTCTCTGATTGTCTTTCAATGTAGGAAATTCCATAAACTGACTGCACTGGCTTTATATTGGGTAAGCGAGAGCAGAGCAAGCCCCTGCTATTGTATCCCGTGTCGTGACCTCCACAGGCTCATTAGACAGATTTGAAGTCCTTGTTTAAAATATACCAGGTGTCTTTCCATTAACTGGTCACAAGTCACAGGACATTGGAGGAAAGTAGCTTTTCTTGTAATGGTTAGTGCTATTCATCTCGTCTTAGTCTTTCATGCTAAATAACTTTTATTTTCACATATTTTCTGCATATATGAAGCTTGCCTTAATTCCAGTCTTTCAATGGTAAAACATCTTTGAATAAAAATTAACTTAGTTTGGTAACAAAGTCCTCTGCAAAAAAAAAATAAATTCCCCAAATCATATGCAAGAGCTCATCTTTCCCCATGCTGATATTTGATGAAAAAATATATTCACTGCTGTTACCTGGAGCTATCTGTAGTCAGCTCTGTAACCCGCTGAATTTCCGATGTGACAGAACATGAAATTCCCCAGTGTCTGTGATCCAGCAGATGTTTCAGCTGACAGAAATTGGGCAAGTTGTGAGTGCAGCCTGCAGCGCCCGTGGGCTGGGCTCCCAGGTACAGCCTGACCACAAGTGATCAGAAGAGAAACCCTCACTGGACACAGTGTGCCACGAGTCAACGGTGGCAGCTGCTGGCCAAATGCGCCAGCCCTCTGTGCAGCTCGGTGGACGCACCAAAGGAGGGAGGGCCGGCCAGTGCCTGAGACACAGTGAGGCTGAGTCCTGCCAAGAACCTGTAAAATAGTTCTCTAGTGGCCTGCCAAACCATGCAGTACAGGTTGAGAGGGAAGGTAAGCCCTTCTATCACAAACATAAGGAGAAGCATTGTATGCAACCTGGTTTGGTTTCCTCCCATGTGGTAGAGAAATCATAAGTGAGTATAGACCTGTGCTGGTACATCCATGAAACGTATCATGGAGCAGTACTGAATGTCCTAGCTTGTGTCTGGTAGCAGCGTACCGGGCTGTGTGTGGTTCTGCTTCTTTCTCTCAGAATTGTAATGATCGCGATGTATTGGGCGGCTTAAGCAGCACTTCAGCATCTGCGAATCAAAGGTATTTTTGTAAAGCAGAAGGTCAAGGGAAAGTACCAGCACTTTGCACAAGGAACATCTACTCCTCCACAGAGTCTATTAGACTGTGTTTACACTGTGACATGAAAAGGAGATTCAAGGGCAAGGCTGGGAGCCTACATGTTCTCCGGCCACACTGGGGATGGTAAGCTCAGCAGTAGGTTGTGATCAAAATACTGTGCTGTGCTTAAAAAGGACAAAATTAATGCTGATGGACTGGAAGGTTGTGCGCTTGGGCCCAGGCTAAAGCAGGTCTCCTCTTGAGCATCTCGAGATTGGCCTGGATCTGCATCTTAGAGTGTGGTTGATCTAATTGATCGGATTGACGGCTTAGACCTGAGAAGGAGCTTGGGCTGGAACTAACAGGATTTATACACTGACAGCACAAGCATACCCTGAAGTGCTGCTGCAGTACAAATAATACATCATAATAATTAATCAGTACAGACAACACTGAGATAATTATTTAAACTCATTGATATCTCATTCTGTGTTTTTCCCTTAGCTTAGGAATCAGCATTCATGACAGCAAGCTTTCTTGTTTTGATTTCCTGAGAGCAACTGATGATGGCAGAGCATCTAAATACCAACAGAGACAAAAGCAGGCTGCACCACCTGCAAGCTTTGCAGTGCTCAGCTTAGAACAGACCCTAATTAAGATAAAAGAAATAGTTGCATCATCTTATGGTTCGTTGTACAAGGTAAGTTTCATGTGGTCACTGCATCTTATTTAATCTCTATTTTTTTCTGCCTGGCTGGGGACTAACCCAAAAGCTTCAGAACTTTTCTGCTATTAATTGAGTGCTACCAACAACCTTGGCCTATGTAGAAATAGCGTCTTCTGACAACTGCAGACTTTTTTAATTGATTGTACTCCGGTAACTCCACAAAACAAGCATATCAAATCAAGCCTAGAGGTTTTGTGAAGATAAGGATTGGAAAGGAAAAAGCGAATAGCAAATTATCTCTTCCCCAAACCCCTGAATAGCAAATTATCTCTTCCCCAAACCCTCCAGTTTCCTCCTCCAGTTGTCTGTAAATAGTGTCCCAAGCATGTAAATATCACATGGCTTTCAAATAGCTCTGTTGAGTTTCCTAGGCTGAGACTTATTATACGTAGGTATAATGTGCTACTGCAGGCAGGCATTATGGTTTTATCAGCGTGAGACGACAGGATCATGTAGCAACTGAGGATACAGACATATGATCAGATGTGAGCACATTATAGTGGCTGCAGAAGTTAGCACCTGTCAGCTGGGGCTCTGCAACTATCTGCATTTACACTCTTGGCCACTTCTGACTCTAACACAGACAGATAAGGTGCTTTAGCTGTTGAGCAGCAAGTTTCCTGGTTTTCCCACCTGTAAAATTAGAATAATAAAAATAACCACTTCTCTCTAGAATTTTGAAAGCCCTGAAAGAAAAAAACGCTGCATATTAAGCAGTCTTAGACTGTTGTGTTGGAGTCTACTGAAACGCAGCAGCCTCTAGACTAAATAATTCTTGATGCCACAGTAAGATTGTTTTCAAGCATGGGAAAGAATAATCAGAAAGACCTTGAAGGAAACATTCCTATCACAAAGAACTGTAGAGCCATCTCATCTGCACCTGCAGTTTCAGGTCCAGTTTAAGCTCACGGCTTTAGAGGCAGGCTTATGCCTGCAAAGATGGTCTCGCTACCCCCGTATCCCCAGCAATGTGGTCCTCCCGCCCGCCTTGTGTCAAAACCAGTACTTGTCTTCCCACCCAATGACCCGGGTCAGGGAACTTCAACCTGACAAAAGTGATCAGTTGTCCGTGGCCAGTTGCTGCCCGTACAAGGGAGGGGAAGGGAACAGTGACTGGGAGGACGATGGGGGTAGAAATTCCCTGTCGTCAGTGGCTGCATTTCTGAAATCTCAATCTGTGGACTCTGTCCTGCAGTTAAAAATAACGCAGGCTTCCAACAAAGACGTCACTAGTGATGTCACTGGTACAAGCACCCAATAAAAAGTAGTACCATGGGAGATGCTGTTTCTTTACAGAAATCTCTTTTCACACTATTTGGAAACTCTGGTGACGTTTGTAAACTTATTGAGGCCACGTTGCCATTTTTGGCCGAATAGACTAACTATTGAACAGGATACTGAAATATTTATATAATCACTTTACATTTTTCATAGTAAAGGGAAAAAAAATCCTTCCTGTGCTCTGCATTACTGAAATAAGAAACAGATAAATTCAATAGCACAGGTTAGTGTTTGTTAAATTTTAGTAGAAGACAATATCTGTCCTCTCATCCCTGTGTGTTTTGGGAATGGAGAAGGTCACAGTTTTGTCTGCTGAGGGTATGATTTGAAAATGACTTTTGGCATGAACAAATCATCCATTTAGTCTTTTAGGGTACCATTTGGTGGTTAATATAACTTCAGGGACCAAGGGATTTTCTCCATGGAGAGCCAGACTTTGTTCACCATGTTATGGAAAAGCAGAATTTTTTCTCATTTCCCTTACATGAGAAAATTAGGAAGTTCTCAATTTTCATCTGAGCCATGTTTTGAGTAAAAGTTGCTGCCACCGATGTGATGGGGGACTCTAACGACATAAGCTTACAACATAATATTTTGTTAGAAAGAGGCAGATCTGAAAGCACAGTTCCTCAAGCCCACCTCGTTGGAAAAAAAAAACCCCATCACATCCCATCCATGACATTTCTACAACTGAATACAGACCTTTGAAGTTTCATAACAAATAGTTAAAGAGTTCAGGTGGGTCCTCTCTGTCAGTATAATCATTTCCCATTCATTTTCACCATACTCAGTACAATGCATACTATATACTCAATGCTTTGTTTTTCCCATAAGACTTTCAGTATGTAAGCAAAGATGAAACTTTCATATTAAGAAGTTATAGAATTCTCTTTAGTGATCAAAGGATTCCATTTTAATGTCCTTTGGATATGGTAGCATTTGTTTTGCCAGTAGACATGGTTCATGTGCATGAAAATATACATTTTTAAACCCGTTATTTAGAACAGTTCTAATGCTAAAACATAAAAATTGCTGTGTTGTTACACCAGTATGTTATAGTGTTAGCAGACTAATAGGGCTTTAAACCTCAAGTTTTGAAAGGTGTAATATTCATTTACATTTATGGAATCAGTGATTTATATGTGCAGCATCATAAATAAGGGGCAGAATAAAACAAGGGGCCGTGGTAAGTAAGTATCAGCCAGGCAGAATGAGAGTGCATATGACACACAACTTTTCTAGACCTTGGTATTTCTGCCACTCATTTGGACTACTCTCTTGCATGCCTTCTGCCGCAACTGTGCTAGACCTAATCTGTTTCCCCTGGGAAAACTTTGGAAAACTCCCACAAAGAACAGGCTGGGCATTTTGTGCAAGGGAGGATGAGAAGAGAGCAAGTAAGCTTTCAAGATGAGCTGGAGCTAATGAGGGTGAAGGACTATCGAGTCTTTTAGGGAGTAGAAAACAGACTTGCCCCACCAGAGACAAAGGGACAATCACTGGGGGGGGGACGGGACGGGGGCAGACTTCAGACTTGCCCCACCAGAGACAAAGGGACAATCACTGGGGGGGGACGGGGGACGGGGACAAAAGGCAAATTAAATATGCTCAGGAGAGTTTAATTTAAAATATTTTAATTAAAATTATTTAACGCAGCCCTTAAATATTTTTGTTTGTTTCCTCTCTTGTCTTAATGACTACCTTCTCTGGAATGTTTGGATACTTGATATAATGCTTTTTTGCTTTTACTGTAGGTTGTTTATTTCCATATTTATATTTACACGTGGTACAGAAATACAGACTATTTTTGGCTTATTTCAACAATTGCATCTCATTTTTAAAGGAAAGGAAAGCTTCAAACTAAGGAAGGTTCCGAGAAATGTGTTTTGTTTCTTCATGTATAAAATACCTGCAAGTAAAAGGCATATGGGTCTCAGGTATTTCCATGTGAACTGCTAAATGGTTGCTAAAAAAGACTTCTCTTTTGGAATGTCTAGATTTGCTTAAATAATTTGAATTCTTGCTTCTCAGGCATTTTCTCTATTTGATAAAGAAGACACTGGCGTAATTAAAGCACTGGAATTTCAGCAAGTACTCGACCATTTCTGCTTTAAATTATCAGACAAGCAGTTCAGGCACCTTCTCAAGAACCTTAAGCACTGTGAGGACTTCACAGTAGACTGGAAAGTTTTCCTGAAAAACATAAATCACCTCACAGAGGTAAGAAGAGCCACCAAGCTATAATATATTTCTTTAAAAGATATGATCTGATGCGTTAGAAGTGACTGACTGACTAACTAACTAAGCATGCAAAATTCACGCATCTTTCTGTTCTCTCAGCTGAACTCCACCGAAGCCCTTGCCTCCTTACAAACTGCTCTCGGAAGTTAAGTCTTGTGCTCATGTAGATTTAGGTCTGTACATGTGGCAAGCTGAAAGCATGACCACGGATACAGCCAGATTTCCCCAATGGGGTGACGTAGGATGTGGGATATCCAAATATTCCTGATGATCCTTGACCTGTCTAGGTGACTGCTGGACAGAAAAGTGAGTGGAGAGGGAAGCCCGCTGGTGTCAAACAGTAATAGCAGTGTAGATGTAGCAGGAAGGTCAAACACAGAGATTAGTCAAGAACAGAGAAAATCTTGACTGCAGTCATGGACAGAGTCTTCTGATGCTCTGAATATGCATGTCACAACAACTCAAATAAAACTAGAGTTGCTGTTTCTCTGTGGCAGATGTTTGTGTCCACAGTGCTTCGCTTGGAGTCGTTCACTTGGTGCAGAGTGCAGGAACAGATCCTTCAGTTCATAATCACATCCTTTTATCACTGCAGCAATCCTTACCATGTATGTGAATAACGGGAACATTATCAAAAGGTGTAAGTAAAAGATGTCTCTGTCCTATTTTGTTTTCACAGTCTTTCCCTTTCCTCCGGCTTCTCCCCTCTTAGTCTGCCTTACCCAGCGGGAAGCGGGTATAAGTAGATCTGAGGGTGCAGGAGTCCAAATGACATTACCTTACAGCTCATTTCTGAACTTGGCTACGGATGTGAAAGCTGGTTACTAGCTGGATAAAAAGCAGTTCTAAAAAAAAAAAAAAAGTATTAACTTGCATCTTATGTTCTGAGAAGTAACTATGTTTCATTTTCAAAAGTATATGCTTGAAGCACAAATAAAATAAGAAAAATAATAATCACCCCCCAATGGAAAACCATATAAAAAGCCTACCACTTTATTGCCATGGCGATAATAGAATGTTGTGCTAAACAAATCCGTATAGAGCTATACGGCGATTAAATCTTGTGTCATAAAGTAGAAGCTGGAAAACCAGTGAGATCTGTCTCAGCCTCTTCACGTCCCGAGTCAAAGTCTGTCAGGCTTCAAATAATCACAGGGCTTGAGTGATTCACAAGAGGAGGAGGAGGAGGAGGAGGAGGGACCACAGGTTTCGAATGAAGGAGGACCCATAAACAGCTCCAAACGCTTGTAATGTGTTACAGGCTTCTGTAGCGGGTTAGAGACTTTATTTATGTGTGTCAGTTACCAATAGGCATAGCTTTACCAAAGTGCTTATTATAAGGGTAGCTTTATTCAAAATTTTATAAGGTTGCTTAAATGTATTTTATTCTCTGTAAATTTAGCATTAATATTTATAGTAGTGCAACTGTTACTTTGTCCTTAGTGGCAGGACTACATTTAATTATAGTTATTTAAAAAATAGTTGGGGATTTTTAAATATTTATATTTTCAGCTTGCTAAAATTAAAATGCAATCTTAACAGATATAATAGATTACATGGTTCTCAAGTGTAAAACGGTGGAATACTTCGTATAGGCTAGAAAATGCCGCATTTCCCCTTTTCCTGCTTTTATGCTGATATAAATTCAATAAGTTTCAACTGAGTCATACCAGCACAAAAAGCAATTGTATGAAATGTAACATATCTGTATACTAATTTTAAGAATGTATTTGTGTGCTGTAATATGGACCCGCCAGCAAGCTTTCGTGTTAACTTTAGAATAGGTAGCTGCTTTTGTTAGGGAAGGTTTTGCAATAATGTCTTCTCATCCTCAAAGTAGGTGCTAAGCCTCCTTAACAACTTGACAAGCTGCACAATCCCTGGGATCAAACTCTGCAAGAGTGTACATTTTAACATGAAGTCTCTTTAACAGTTAGTCTTCCAAGACCCCAAATACTTTCCAGCTCAACTTAGCAAAAAAGTAAGCTACCTCCACATCTTTCAGGAGGTACTCGGTCCATGACAGGACTGGAGCCGGTACTGGTTTTTTCAATACTGAGCATTCACCTTGAACAGTTTTCTGTGCTGTGTTAGGGGTAGAAGGGATAAATCCATCATTAAAACCTCACATTAATCCACAAGAGAACATTTTTGAAAAGACAAAACAAATACGAACCAGGTTCACAGTGCTGGCTCACCTTCCAGATGCTCTCAAATCTCATGTTTTCATTTTGGGTTCAACCCAAAATTTCCCACGCCTTTGCAATTTCATCCCACCCTTGGGTTCACACGTACTCCTGGGCTCCTGTGCAGGTTCTGAGAGCAGGCTGGTTGTTAAATTATTCACTTCATCCAAACACGCTACAATTTTGGCCTGTAAAGTATGTATCTAAATTAATGAGCTATGCAACTCATTCAGGCACGTTAGGAAAACTGATCATTACGCTATACAATTTGATCACTGAAGTATATGAAAAAGTAACAAGTAAAGTATGCAGCTTGATCATTAAAGTATGGAAAATTTACTGAACTAGTAAAGTATGAGCCTGGGATGATTTTTGTCTCAACTGGCACCTCATAAATAAAACCCACAACCACAAAGGCAAACATTCACAAACCCAAAAGCCATACAGGTTTAAGTTGTATTTTTTCCATAGAAAAGAGCTGAATAAGGGGAGACAAAAAAAATCTCGCGGAAATTATTTCTAAATGTTTTATGCGGCACGTGGATCTTTTGATAGCTTTGACATATGTTGATGAGCTTTACATTCTGATTAACTCTCTAGAATACGAGCTACAGCAGCTGTATATGAGCAGAATGCCCACTGAAATACACCTCTGTAGAGCTGTAGGGCTATACTATACAAAAATAGAATTAAAGAAATGTAAAGTAATTTAAGCAATATGATTGCATCTTAATATTCAGATAAGAAAGAACCAAGGTTATGGCATTTAGCTTGGATGTTGCTAACCAACTGCGGAAGAGCTGAGGAAGGAGACAGAGAGGACATTGTCTTAGGTGGGATGCTATTAACCACCAGTGGAGACTCTGAGGATATTTGTAAAAGTCCAGACCTTGGAGCCGGGAATACGCATCATGAACTTTTCTTGACTGACCTGCCAGTCTTGTGATTAATAAGACCTGAGTGGAGCCCTTCTGCATTAAAATTAAGTGGCTAACGCAGTCCAGCCTAATGAAAGCTGCACTTGGGAATCAGACCCCCCCAAAAGAAAATGTACTTGCATGTCCTTCCCCACTGTGAGCTATTGCAGATGTGGAAGGGGGAAAAAAGTAAAGAACATGTTAAAAGCGATAGTTCAGGGCGTGCTGGTCAGGTCTAGAACAGCAAGGTGTTCATACAGGATCAGCACAGCTGCACTATAGTGGGGAGTATATGGGGAAAGGAGGGATTATGGTCAGGGCCAAACAATTTGTTGTTTAGCCTTTCTGGAGCCGAGAGTGCTCAGTGATTTGCTGCAAGCTTAGTAAACCTTCACCTGTCGAGTCCAGCAGTGAGTAGAAAGAGAGCAGGTCAGGTTGAGGAGATGACAGAGAGAAGGGACAGATCATTGCTCATGCCCGTTCAAGGGCAGGAACTGAGATAACAAGGGGCTCTGACACGTGATTTGCTGCAAGCTTAGTAAACCTTCACCTGTCGAGTCCAGCAGTGAGTAGAAAGAGAGCAGGTCAGGTTGAGGAGATGACAGAGAGAAGGGACAGATCATTGCTCATGCCCGTTCAAGGGCAGGAACTGAGATAACAAGGGGCTTGCTGACACGTGTGTCTTTCAGGTGACAAAGGGAATTACTGGAGTGAGTAGAAACATATTCAGCAAAGCTTTTTGTAAAAAAAATTATTTCATCTAAAATGATGAAATTTGGAAATCAGAGTGACTTCCAGGACTTCTTTGCAGAAATTTGCAGAACACTTCAATATCAAACCAGGCATTTGATTTAGCTTTGTCCTGAACTTTCTGTTTCCCCACTAAGGTCTCCATTTTTGTTTGTATTTAGCTTCCTGTTCTGAGTTTCTCTGCAGTCTGTCTCATGCTGCTGAGTGCCTTGTTCACCAGCTGAGTGCATTTTATTTTCAGCCAGTTCCATCTAATCAACCTGCCTGCAAAACTGCAGGCTTGTTTGTTCATCCTTGGTGCTCTTCCTGACCGAGAGAGCATCCTGCTTCTCCTTGGACCAGTACCCGTGAGAGGATTCCCCCCCAGTATAGCAAGTTCACATCTCTTCTTGAAGCCTGGCACTGTGAGAGCTGTACCTCCAGGTCCCAGGACTGAAGTCCAGGACTAGTTTCTGCTACTCGCTAGTGAAAAGCATGGGTACATCGTCACTGTCCCCATCTTTGTTGGGCATGTTGCTGGTGGAGAGTCTACAGAGCTAAAACTTGCTCTCACATCACATTGCTCTCAGCAGTGGCTGCTACAACCCCTTCCTGTAAAATGCAAACAAAACAGCTTCCTTGTGATCTTGGAAACTATTCCTGAATCAACAGAGCGGACAGCACTGACACAGCTTACCAGCTCCATGAATGGAGGGTGGCTGTGCTGTGACTCCCCAAACACTGATTTGCCCGCAAGTGATGAAATGCACAGAGTGCAACTCTACAGTGTATCTATCTGTTGCAACCATATAGGTTCGGAGCTCAAAAAACCCATGCAACAGAGAATTGACATCCTCAGTCTTTCCACAACCTTGCTTCCTAAATTCAGCAGCATTACTAACCCAGCCCTTGTGCACTGTGTTCAGGCGTGGGGAGCTGAAGTTCATTTTGCTGCCATGATCTACCTGTGAAATTGCAGCAGGAGTACGTAAGGACCTGCTCTACAGGGGTCATGCTTTTCCCTGTCTTGGGGGTGGGAGTTTTACAGGTTTATTCATTACTCACTGTCCTCATTTGTTGAACCTCTGGGCCCTCCTGTTCTGAGCCACTGATTTGATCGGATAACTGACTGTCATCAGTCAATGACCCATTGCACCAGCAGCAGAGATTAGCAGGCCTGCTGATTATGTCCCTACCCTCAGTCAGCAGCACCACAAACTTTGTCTGTCCTCATGTAGAACAGCTGTGCTCCAGGGAAATACCCCTTCTGGGATACCTGCATGTTTGCATCTGTGTTCCAGTATTACACCTCCTTCAGGCTGAGAAACATTAAAGCTTTCCTTACGCCATGATCTAACTCCATGTTTCTCTTTATCCATAGCAAAACTGGTTTGAAGATTCCCCTTCCTTGCCCCTGCTCTCCTGTGCAGTGCCCTCCCCATGACTACAATGTGCTGTCCCTCATTGTGCCGGGATATCTGTTTTGGGATCTTTCCCCATTGATAAGCCTGCCAAAGCTGTACCTCCCTTTCCTTCTCTGTTCTGAGTAATGAAGAGAAGGGTCTAATGGAATTTTAAAATGGCAAATTGTTCCTTGGGATGGAAGCCTTTCACTCTATATTTATTAAGAGTAGAGGAAAAGGAGAAAGTAGGGATAATGGAAAGTAAGGAACATAGTATCAGACCATCAGGCGTGCTGCTGATGGGCTAGACACTGCTGGGGAGACAGAGGTGCAGGGAAGCCTCACTGTGGCTCCTGCTTCTTTACCCAGTTCTACCTAGCTTAATATTTCATAGTTATTTAATATAATAGTTATTTTAATTACAGGTAGAAGAATGTGGCTTTTTTCTAGACAAGGCAGAGATTGGCGTGTGGGCCACCTTTGACTCATTGCGTCAAATCATTTTGTCAAACCATCGTATACCATTACATATTCTAAACACTACCAAGAGTATTTTATCCTGCAAATGTGACCTCAAAAGTTGAATTATTTAATATAATAGTTATTTTAATTACAGGTAGAAGAATGTGGCTTTTTTCTAGACAAGGCAGAGATTGGCGTGTGGGCCACCTTTGACTCATTGCGTCAAATCATTTTGTCAAACCATCGTATACCATTACATATTCTAAACACTACCAAGAGTATTTTATCCTGCAAATGTGACCTCAAAAGTTGAATCTGTCTGTTGCAACTGGTTGGTCAAAAGGAAAATGGTACATTACAGAAAGACCCTCAATGGAGTTTTCATCTTCTATTTATAATTGGGTTTATTATTGCAAGCTCCTGTTGCACACCAGCTATCAAATCCTCAGCAGGCGTAAATCAGCACTCAGGTTAATGGAGCTAGACTGATCACTGCCAGATGAGGATACAGCTCTACTTGTAACCCAGGGATAAAATACAAGCTTCTCTATAGTGCTGAGACTCTGAGAGCTAGAACAGGCTGGCTGGTGAATCGCTGGTTATCTGAACTTGAGAAGAAAATGCATTTCCACCCCAATCCACACTCAGGCAACTAACTCTGCTGCTTCCACACATCTTTAGGGATGAGCATTTATGGAAAACAATTTGAAGATACGTGTTGTTAGGGTAAAGGAGGGCCCATGGGCTAAGAGCAGAAGCTTCTAAAAGTGTGTGAACTGTCAAAAGGATGATTACTTCTGGCAAGGGTCATTCTCACGTACAAAGAGGAAAATGCATCCTTTTTCAGGGGAAGATACAAGGGCCTTCTTGTGTAAGCTGTTTCCCAAGACCTTTGCTTTCTGAGCCTCCCCAGAAAGGGAGGGAGGTCAGACTTGTGACAGGGCAGGGAACAGGACCAGAGAAATTGTAATTTATCTTGATGTACCAATTTACTTTCTAATTAAGAATTCCTCTTAATAGAAAAATCTTCCAGAAACAGGAAGGAGCTGCAGGAATGGAGCTTCACTGAGCAGGTGTGGGTGGCGGAGCCTTCTTTTATTACTAATCAGCATAGTTATGCCATTTATAGAAAAGGACATGAGGCTGTGCAAGGAACTTTCTAAAGAAGAAAAATACAGCCCTGCTTTGAACAGCAAGTGAGCTACATAGGGTGGCCCGTAAGAAAAGCCTCGTAATAATGCCTCCCCTCTCTTGGTGAAAGTAGGAGGTGAAAGTGGATTTACGTGGTCCTCCCAAAGCACTCTCAAATTCTGTTAGGAAGGGTCAGAAAGCCTGTAAAGACCTGAGCAGGGCAGTCAGGTAATCTGGACTTCACAGCTTATGGTGGCAGCTGGCATTTGGCCGTGGTGTGGGGCAGGTACTGCTCAGAGGCTGTGCGGTAGCCTGAGAAGCTATAAAGCAGAAGCGCACTGCAGAGTCCTGGCCCCTGAATTCTGAAGTGATATACACACAGCTTGATGAGATGAGTGGAGCACATGGCAGTGAATATCAGGAAATCACTAACAGAGAAGTAACCCCTTTTTCATCCAACAAAAACTCTTCTATAAATGGTCTGTAAGCACTGCTAGGACATACGCTGCACAGCTCTGAGACAGCTTCATTCCTGTTGCTCCCTTTCGAGGTTGAAGTGAGACGCGTTTCTCAGGTTTGTTGTATCTACACTGTGTATAAGGTTAGTTTCAAATTAAGAAATGGCACTTAAATGTCCAGATGCCCAGGCCAGAGTCTGAGATTTTAGGCTCCAGCTCCATTATTTCAGCTAAAGGAGATTATTTTAGTAATGGATGATAGAGTCACAGATACACAGTGAATGTACTAACTGCATATGGTAGACGAATGTAACACAGTAACTGAATAGAAAAGGTTTTCTAGTTTTCAGTCTGTAGTTTGCAAGAAGAGCAAGTGATTTCCTTTTTTTTATTGGCTCTCTAACCATTCTATGATCAAAGTGTGTTAGGTCTTATAAAATAAACAAAAAGCTCTTGAAATTAAATATATTAGGAAAGCTTGCACTTACAAAATATGTTTCTTTAAAAGGTTGCAGGGTAGTAATACTTTCCCTAAGTCTTTGGATTCATTAGAATAATTAAAAGCAGCGGTGCAGTGTTTTTTAGTTGCAGTAATGTCATGCAGGCAGAAGGTGCGCCCTGCGCTGGACCGTGCCCGGCAATCTTAATTTCCTGACTATGGCACAAACTGGCTTCTGCGTCTGCATGCACGATTCCACTTCTCGTATTTCTTCTCTTAACAATAATGCAGCCGTAATGTCTGTCGCAAACGTATGTTTTATGTAAAGCATGGTTAATATTGAAAAGTGTTATCTGCATTTGAAGATAGTGGAGTCTTTTCTGATTAGGAGGCAGGTTTCTTGCAGTTCTGTAAGAAACATATTTTCTTTTCCATCCAGTTATAATGATCATGTGAGACGTGACAAGGAAACAGGAGCGCAGGACCAAAAGCCATCTGTTTCTTTTTTGGTATTTCATATTGCATGGAGGAAGAAGGTGGCAAAGCTTATATGCTTAAACATGGGGGTATAAAATATGATAGTAACATTTAACATGCTGTGAAGAAATGTCTTTGAACCAAAACCAGATTTTTTTCTTGTTGTTTTTACCAGGACCTGTTACCACAGCTATAGTAAAACTGACTGCCGCTTGTGTTTGTGAAAACTTTGCTTATAAGGTATTTTACATATTTAGTTTAGACACTACAGTGGGTGGAAAGTCAGCTTCCATTCCTGAAAATAAGTAGTTTCTTCTTCAAAATTCTGATACTGCTTTTTTTATTATTATTATTATTCCACATTGTGCCATTCCTGAGACTACTTTTATAAGTAAAACTTGGTTTCATTCCAAAAACTGAAGTTTACTGCTAATTCTGGAGGTAGAATGTAAATGTTGAATAGATTTCACTGATATTTAACTTTATGAAATGTGGCCTTTTGCATGCACAGTTAGACTTTTGGTATTCTCAGGTATGTCCATACCAAAGCCTAGCAGTGCTTTACTCTGCAGTTTATTCCAACCAACTGTATTTTGCCCTTTTTATTTCTGCTTGCCATATGACCTTCTACTGTATTTACCCAAAGTGTGGATTTCCACCCTGCAGAATGCATAATGGGGGTTTAGTCAGCAATAAGCTCCAGTGGTAGATTTTAAAAGCCGTACACCCGTGTTAGATTTGAAAGCAACACACTGAAAAAAAGGGGTTGTGCACATCTTGTACTGGCATTAACACACTTGTACCCAGCCCCTTCTCTGCTTTCCCCTCACACATTCTGTACCTTTGCAGCCTTAAACTGCATCATTTAGCTGCAGTATCCCTACTGTGGATGACCAGATTAAAAAGTACCGCCATAAATATACCTGGAACTTAGAAAGGAAAGGGAAATAATTGCCCTCTCTTTCATCTCAGGACTGAAGTGCCTTTTCAGTCAAAGAGATTTCCACTGCGTGCTAAAGACTATTCAGATGAGAAGAATACGTTTGGGATATTTGGGCTAGTTAGCGCTCACTTCCCTTTTTTCTGCATTAACAGAATAGCCCTCTTTGTAAGATCACCCAATTTTTTAGACCTTTGTAAAAGTTTAGGTCAGTCTTGGAGTCCTGTGCTTTTGTTGGCCTGTCACCAATTGGATCCCGTTTATAGAGAGTCTATTTTTCCCTTAACTACTTGCATAGCCCTTTTCTCTTTTGTGGTGCAAGCCAGAATTCCTGGAAGCAGGTTTTACTGCCTGCGGGATCTCGAAGGCCGCCTTCTCCATGGACGTTTCCCTCCTCGACTGGCTGAATGCCACATTGCGATTTATAATTTATTCAGTGGATCCATTACTGATTCTCTGTGTATGTTTTTCGTCTAGACTGAGGAAGGGCAAAAAGTCGTTCCGCCTAAGTCTTCTTGGGAACTGTCAGAGAGAGGCATCCTCTCACAGATACAAGAAGTAGTGACTGCTAGTTTTAACACAATTGCACAAGAGTTTAAAGATATTGACTCTTCAAAAGATAATACAGTATCAAAAGAGGAGTTCTGGGATATATGTAACCGACATTTTCAGCATCTGACTGAAGAACAAGTAAGAAAACTGTATTATTTTGTCTTGTCAATTTAAGTGTACAACTGGGTAAACTGGCTTTGGCTGCGTTTGCATACTGTTATGTATAGGCAAGTAGTTTAAAATTTTGGATGAAATGAAAATGTTTTAAGACTATCATTCCATGAACATTTGTTGCTACATTTGTGGGAGATTATTTTTTTCCTTATCTCTGAGTATGGTTATGAACTATAATAATCACAAGCTTTCTAAAGCAAAGTCACGGAGATGCTATTGCTAATAGCGAAGGTGTGAATTTAAAGCACAGTAGTTCTCTTTCACTAGCTCTTTATCTGTATATTTGCTATTTTAAAAGTTTCTTTTTTCAGTTTTAAGTTAATCCACTTCCAGTTGATGGAGAAAAAAACCTCAGCATGGAATAAAAAGTACTTCCATGGGGAGCTAATGCAAATTCCTTTTTCTCAGCAGCTATTTTGTCCTGCCCTCCTTGGACAAAGAAAGGGGCAAGCATTTGACATTTCCTGGCCACCTCTCAGCTACTTTTCTGGGTTAAAGATTCCCCCAAATTAGCGTCAGCAGAGTTCATGTAACCTTGAATTTAGCTTGAGTGACTGAAGTAATTTCATGAATCTGGCAGTACAAACCATCCGATTAGCCCAGTGCTAATCTCAGGGGAACCTGAGAGGCCAGTCTTTCATAAGATTCTGCTTCTGCTGAACTTAAAATGAAAAGAGCCATTTTTTATCTTTGCTAATGCTGGTTCAATGTGATTTTTCCTAGTCCAAATACTAGGTGAATAATAAAACAGAGGGAACCTTGACTAAAAGATTGCAGATTTTACTTAACAGCACTCTAACCTTCATGCTCATGATTGCATCAATGCCATTTGGCAGCAAACTGAAAGACAAGACACAGAGCCTCCAAACTCGTATGCGTGTCTGCACTACAGAAAATTTTTTTGGTACTTTGCTCATTCAGACACATCCTCTGATTTCTTGGCCCTGTACTTCCCACCAACATTTTTTACTATAAATTGCAGACAGGAGTGGGGCCTGCTTGTAATTACAGCAAAGATATTGCACAGTCTGACATGTTATCAGGTGCTGCTATGCATGTGTAAAGTTGCAGATGAAAGCACTGAAAAAAATCAAAATATTTTCCACTTCCCCCTTGAAAATTGCAGAAAAAACCCAAATGGCCTGTATACTCTATTCCTAGAGCCACACTTCTCGTGAGGTACCAAGTGCAAGTGCCAGATCTGAACCTGGACCCTCAACACCAAGTGAAAGCAAAAGTGAAAATGTGGTGATACTCTTTCCTCATCCCTGTGAACTGCTGAGCAGAAGCACCAGGGTGAGCTCGCGGCTGAGCCCTGGCCGAGGCAGGAGAACTCACACCTTCCTGAGCTGTGAAAAATCTCTTGGTTTTTTTCTTTTTTTGGAAGCAGTAAGGCAAGCATCTCCAGCTGAAGAGTCCTCCAGACTAGATCCTGTCTACTTTACACTCAGGAAGAAGTGAAGGGACACAGGAGCTATTTTATACTTAAAAGAACCTCAGACAAGTGAAGAAAAAAAATCTTGATAGAAACTGTCATCCATAATAGCAACGAGAAGCAGGCCTGAGGAGCCTCATTTATATAAGTAGCAGCCTCTGTGTGAGTGAGACTCAAGCCCTGTATCTCCAGAGATATTTTGATTTTGACAGGCCTCTCAAAGATATGCCTACGTATATCTATATGAAGATGCCCCAGGAGAGCCTTCCAATCTGGGTACAGGGTTTGCCACTGCTAATCCAAACCCCTGCTGTTCAGGCTGTTGTTGCTGCTCAGAGTTATTACAGAAGTGTTACTAATATTCATAGTCTGGATGACTTCACAGAAAATGTCTTCTTTTATCCTTTCCTGGATAATGGCCACTTACTGTTTGCTATTAGCAAGGCTCAGCTGGAATCTATATTGAGTAGTGGATGAAGAATTTCTTCCTGAAGTTTGGCTGCTTGGTCTTCTGAATTTCTGATGCTGTGACCTTTTTCATAAAAGGCTAAGGATGGTAAACATGTTGCAAGCAAGGTGTTGATTAATATCTTGCCAACTGACATCCCCCTTTTTATCACAGGTGCTTTTCTCCTCTCTACTTGAACTCCCTTGACTTGCTTGAACTATCTGCAATCCCCCAAATGGCTAAACTTCACTGGGTGTTGAAATAGTTTCTCACTGTAGCTAACCCAGCTCATCAGGGTATTGTTCTATTTAATTGAAGTTTGTAATACACTTCGAGATCCTCGTATGAAGTGTGAAATATAATCACAAGCGCAAAATAGAATTGTTTATAATTCATAATGTGGTGGCAGCCAGGCCAATGGGGGAAAGTTGAAAGGAAATTCAAAATGTATCCTTTGCCCTTTGAAGTTTGACTGCAACTTGGCACATGCATCAAAGAGGTGACTAGCTTCCTTTAGGGTTTAAGTCTCTGCCGAAAAAGATCAAATCAAAAGCAATCTGAGGTTCCCAATTAGATTTATATTAAAAATCAATAATGAAGACCCTAAAAAGGCATACTGATGACTCTTGAAACACTTGCAAAATGAGTGCAGCTCATTTAAGGGCAGGCTGTGATAATCCTTGCTTTGATTAGTAGCTTATATCATGAGTAGTCCCATTTAATTCAGTGCAGCTACTTACTGAATAAAGTGCTGTTCAGCGGGAAATCAGCCCAGCCTCATCCTTACGATTCCATACATAGCCCAGAGGGTGGGCTACCTGCCCTGTGTCGGGCCAAGCAGCCACACGGACCTCCACGGGCAGCAGAAGCAAGGGTATCAGCAGCTGCACCCAGGTCTTCCATAGGCTGGCTGTATTGTAGAGGTACAGTTCCTGGCCATACATCCTAACTATATGTGATTCTAGAGGCTGTAAAGATTTCCTGCTATGTTCTTTCATGCTGATTCATTGTTGCCCTCAGGGTGAAATAATTTGTTGATGCAAATACAATAACTGAGGAACCTTAATGGCCTCCTGAGATGGTGGTATAACTTGGGTGCACCTGATAGCGTGAGAAATTCGCCTCAATGGTACTTAGCCAGGATACAAGTGCACCATGTATTTGATTTACATCTCATGTTAAAGCATTATTCTTCTATACTGCAGCTCAATCACTGTGTCTAATCACAGGGTTTAGTAGTTTAAACAGCACACTAAGGGCCCAATTCAATTAAAAAATGTCCTGCAGAAATCCTTTTTTCATTGTTTTCCCAGCCTTGTGCAGGCTTCTGCAGAGAAGCTGTGATTTTTTTTTTTTTTTAATAAGATGGGCCCTAGGATTCCTTCTATTGCAAGGCATCTTTCTTTTTTGATACGTTTTGTCATCTCCTTAGTACATAAGGGGATTCTGTTGTTGTAAAAACTAGCATTTACAAAAGTCATCTTTTGCTTCTTCATCAGTTTGAAAATCTTTGGAACACAGTGGATGTCAGTGCTGGTGGACGGTTGAAGTATCAGGACTTTTTGAAGAAGTTCAGCTCAGAACTTGTAACGATGCCATCAAGCACTCCCAGTGCAACTAGTTCTGCAACTTCTACCAAGCCAGCTACCTGTGCCATGCAGGAGCCACGTGTGTCTTCTCGGCCTGAACGTCCCAAGACATCATCTTTTCTACTAGGGCAAAAGAGCGTAAGTGTGGTTGGTTTATGAATTTTATGGATTTTCATTTCTGTGCATAGGTTGAAAATAATACCTGTGGAACTCAGTGAAGGTATTCCTATTGATTGCCCGTGAAATCAGGCACAACCACCTGTCAATAAGCAAATGAGGTAATTTGCAAAACTGTGTTACGATGACAAAATTGGGCCAGAGAGTAACTCCACTAAAGTCAAAGGATATGTCAATTTATACCAATAGCATTCCCTGCTGTTACCCTACACATATCCATCAGAGCGGTACAGCAAATAAAATTCCGGTGTTTAAGCACAATCAGATTTCTGAGAACAAAGTAAACAGCCCAAATTACAAAGGCCCAATAGCAGCATAAATAAATATAGACAGCTTATCTGTGGTCATCTGACAAAGTGAGGCAGGATTGGCAGTTGCAATTTTCTAATAGATGTTTGCTGGTCTGTCCAAAACCATTCTGGTGGTCTTGCCTGCTTTCTGGTGGATGCCAAATTACAGCTGTTAATGCCTGATAGTCTGACTGATAGACTTGCCATGAAGGCCAGTGAACTGAGAGAGGAAAGAGGAGTGGATTAGGAATGCAGTAGTTTTGCTTCATTTTTGCATCCATACCTATACTTCGTGTCGATAATGCACTTTGGTCCTCTCCACTGCCATGCTGGCCTCTTACCCTAGTGCTAGAATTCAAAGAAAGGTGGGGAAATCCTTACAGGCAGAAAAATTAAATATGCCCCTTGTGGAGCTGCACCTACCTATTCCACGTTCTTTGGCTACAACAAACCTACAACAGAAAAATAAAATACTTAGAATTATTCAGTGCCTGGAACATGCTTGGATTTTCTGACTACTTCTACATGGAAATGTTTAGCTACTGAAAAAGAAATAACAGATTGAGCAAATTAAAGATGCAAACAACTTGTCAGGGCTGGTAAATCTAAACATTGGCCCATTGCTAGCTAAATTATTGCATTAACTATAGGTTCTTTCTTGAAAAGCCCAGACAATTAGGTACATGCATCCTTCATGCTTTGATCCAGTTCCCAGAGAAAGCAATGGAAAATTCCTTATTACTGTCTGTGAATGCTAGATTGGACAGTATAAGACAGTAGGAAGGGAACTTAAGTCTCTCCAAACTTATAGCTGTTGGAAAGAACCCAGCCAGCCTGAACACTGATCAGGATGAATGTTCCTGCAGCGTTCATTGTATGGAAATTTGTGTGAGGCCTCAGCAAGTCTGCACCAATGAGACCTCAAGTGAGCACTGCAAAGTCTCACTAAATATGAGATTATACATTGGATCTAAAAGCATAAATACCGCTTGTGCACGTACTGTACAGTGGTAGGCTGAGGTTTTGCTTCCAGCTCACCCACAGTACTGCTGAGGCAGCAAGCAAAAAGACACTGAGCACTGGGATCCTCTCACATTATTCCTTCTGTGGCTCTGCGTAGGACCGGGAGTTCTCCCCGTAACAAATCAAAGCAATGTTGTTTCGTAATTCAGTGACTTTGCACTGGTTTGTTTGTTTGTTCTAAGATGGCACTACATAGCTTTTTTTGAACACGGTATCTGTTGTTTAATAAGAAACAGCTTGAAGAAACTATAAATGATTTACAAATTACGCCAAATAAAAAGTGGTCAAGGCCCGTTAAATGAATAGTGTCATTTTGACGCTAAGAGTGTTCTCACATTTTTACCTACAGTTTTGCAGACACAATTAAAATCAGACTTAGAAGTGGCTCAAATGGTACATTAACCTCAAGTCTGGAAGACCAGAAACTGGATTTGTCATCCGGTGGTTTGTCTACACAACCAGTAAAACTCAATAGAAAAAAATTACCATTATCTCTTGCTTTTAGATACCAGCATCCAGTCATCCTCAGACAACAACAACTTGTTCTGCACCTATCCTTAACTGTGAAACAATAGAAAATAAGATAAGAAAGAACATCCAGCATTCCTGGAGAGGCATACTGAAAGTGTGCCAAGAGAAGGATGTCAGCAAGCTAGGAGAAATCCTAGTGTCAGACTTCTTAGGTTTGTTACCATCTGAAAAGTGCTTTATTCATTCTCAAGATGCGTTCTGTTTTCTTTCTGGTGTCCCAGCCATACGAATATCTGGCCTCTAGTAAGTGGCATCCGCTGCATGATTGCTCCAGGTACCACCCTGCTATTGCAGACCAGAACAGCTTACAGTAGCCTTGGGTGCAATACATTCACATCCCTATTCAGAATTAGCTGCTCCTTGGAAAAGGAGTGTGTGGCTTTGCTTGTGGGTACTTAAGGCATGCACACAAGTTTCTCATCGCCTTCCCAACACACTACCCTTTCTGTGCCTGGGCATATTTGAATGCATAGATTCACCAGTCTTTTCCTTGTGTGTGCTTCTGGTTGCACTGGTCTTGATGGCTGAATGCCTGCTGATTTGAAAGGACCCTGGATTTTACTCTTAGAAGAGCTGGGCTATGCTGCTCTTCTGTTGTGTTCTCTTCCGGAGAAAGGATTTTCTGTGCCTTTGTTAGGATATTTGCCTGTGTGATAAGACAGTGTGCACCTGTATAATCAAATGTAAAGTCATGTTAGCTTATCAGATCTTTTATCTCAGTTAATGTCAAGGAGTACTTCTTGTGCATTTAAAATCAAAATGACATGTATAACAACATTACAGTCCTCTGAAACCTTGTAAAATGTGAACTGCCACCCCGTAAGTATAGGCATATGCATATAGCTGCGTATAGCAAGAACTGCATAACACACTTATGCAGCAGTCACTGCAACTGATGACCTGTCAACATATCCCTGCTAAAACTTGCGAACACAGGACAACGATTGGCTATTTTTAAGAATGACAAAATGAATATTCTTTCTTTGCATTTCAGATATAGCAGAGAAGTTCAATTTGGATTTAAGTGAAGGGGAAATTAACCAAATAACAACAAAATATGATTTAAAGAAAAATGGAAGATTTGCATACTATGACTTCCTTCAGAGTTCTATCTTGTTGTTAAAACCACAGGAGCTCACTGCTAGGGGAAATTAACCAAATAACAACAAAATATGATTTAAAGAAAAATGGAAGATTTGCATACTATGACTTCCTTCAGAGTTCTATCTTGTTGTTAAAACCACAGGAAAGCTCACTGCTACAGAGGGTAATTATACAGAAGCCACAAAAGCCAGTAGGTACAAAGCTTATAAATATCAAAATGACAATCTTTTTTCAGTTTCTGCTGTACTGACAGGATATTTCATGGCCTGTTTCTATATTCACTTTATGCAGGGACTTTCCAGCATTCTCTTATTTAATCCCATGATATTAATTGCCTAGTATTCATTTGGTATCTCCTTCAGTTGGAGGATTTAACTCCTTTGGATCACGCTCTGTGTAAACAGGTTATATGGTAAATTGGCTAAATTCGCTAAAATTTGGATAATAATTCCAAATAGAAAACACGGCTGACTGTTTAAGAGCTTTTGTTGAACTAAATAAAAATCAAGCTAGAAATAAAAAGTGCATGGGATGTGTCTTAGGATGGCCCCGACTAGAGATCTGATCAGCAAGCTGTGCCTCTGGCTCCACACCCAGCCCCGTAAGTAAAGCCCAGAGGAAGCTCTCACTTGCACTGCTGTTAATGGTCACTAAAAACATCTAGTAGCCAGGACTGGTCAGCACACATTGCGCCCTTGCAGCTCCCCCTGCCACACATATCTGCCTCCCAAGCTGCGATGAAGAGGCAAAAGAGTCACGGCAAGGCAGCTACACACAGGCTGTTCCCCTCTGCCCACAGTACCACTCTAGGGCAGAAAAGATCAGAAGGGACACAGAAATCTGGCTTTCATGGCCCAGAAAGGAAGGCATAGGTTATAGCATCCCAATCAAGTCATGTAGTAGGAACAGTGCCAAATTCCAAATCTGCTCATTCAGCGAGCCTGCTGCATTTTTAGGCTGTTTCTGACTGTGCCTAATTAGTTTAGATATGGTTAGTAGCAGCATTTTATAGAGAAATCACATTACCGAACTGTTTTCAGATGTGGAACGAACAGATTGTCTACCAAGGTATGAAAGGAGTATCATTAGGAATTATCAAGTATGCACTACCAGTAGGGATAGTAAGGTAAAACTATTAAGTTTTGCATCAAAGGACTTCCATTATCTTACATAAGGTTTCTTTTGTACACAAATTTGATGCTGTAAAACTCCATCCCAGTATTCTGGAGTGGATAAAGCAGTAATTTTTAAGTGCCTATGTAGTTGTCTCAAATAATTTTTATTTTATTTATTCTATTCAGAAAAAATAAAGGTCTCGGTCCATATTCTGAACACCTTTATATAATGTAATATTCAAAGTGAAATTTCCTCATAGATTGCTCAGGCCATTCCACCTAGTAAGTGTACAGATACACATCAAGAGGAATAATAACAAAAACCAAATAAAACCTTTTTTTTTGGTGGCAGGCACAATTCCTTCTCTTTCTCAAAAGCCTGAGAGAATCAATGGCCTTGGGCTTCATGGAAGCATCCAGGCTCTAAGCTATGAAAACAACCCAAGTTGAAGTCATCGTAAAGCGTGCTTTCCCTCCCTTCAGCCCACAAGGATATTCAGTACTTTGGGTTGGAAACTGCATTATTCATGTACCCACTCATTCCTCAGCTACATAGTCTGAAGGAGGAATACCCCAAGAGCACAGAAAGAAGGTGCAGCTGCCCCCCAGGCCTCTTACAACTCGTGTAGGTGCAGCATGGCCTCTAAGTCCATGCAGTAGATGTATAAAGACAACTGTGCATTTTCTTCACGAGGAGATGCTTGTAGAGACGCCAGTGGCATGCGCAACTGGCACAAACGGGGCACTATCGACTTACCCAATTACAATAATAAATACCAGGAGAGCGTAGGGCGAAGCTGAGACGGAGCTGTATTTTGAGAAAATAGTAGAGCAGATCCAGACCCTGCAGGTGGATTGGGGCTTGCTGACTTTTCCGAAGTCCCTTACTCATCACTCTAGTGTTAAAGCTTTGTACAAGTGGAATTAATTTTCCCTTCATGAATAGTTCTGCAGTTCACAAGTATTCAGGGTACACCAAAGTAACAAGGTTAGCCAGGCTAAAACAACAGAACACAACATGTCCCAAGGAAAATTAACCCTATGGTCCAGCTGTGGAACTGTGGAAAGGTTCAAAAGCTGGTTACAAGCTATTTTATGTACTGGGAAAAGTGTAGAGTAGGGTTTTGTTTTTTCTTAAATACCGTACCGCTCCCACAGTTGGCTTATGCATTCAGTCGCTTTTAAGCAAAAATTTCACTCTGAAAAATGAACACTGCAGAGAATGAAAAATGACTGAAAGAGGGAGTTGAAACAAGGACAAGCATAATACATGTGAAAACGCTGAGATCTGAGCAGAAGTAACACTGACTTCAGAATCAGTTTCAAATAATAAAAAGTTAGGGCTTTGACAGTGATTAAGTTAATATACCATCTGCACTTCCCAAGAATATCAAAATGTTATAGGTTAAAATAATCTTGTGTAAACAGTATCTTGCAATAATTTGTAAACAAGTATTCAGCAGCCAGTCGCAGATCAAGGCAGCATCACAGTCCAACACCTTTTCATTCTGCATTATAGTTGTGCCCAGTTGTGCTCACGATGATGTTAGTAAATGCAAGTCTTTCTCATCCAACTTTGTTAGATGAGTCCTGGACCACAAAGCACATCGTTCTTCAGTGCAATGCTGAGAATTCAGCCCCAGATCTTGTGCTGCTGGAGACCAATGAAGCAAACTTTTAAATCCTGTGATGAAAGTCATACTGGACTGTTACATATTGCAGATTTCAGACAAGTAAGTTGCATTTAGCAATTAATAGTCAGAAAATTACAGTGGTCTAATCTGAGCTTCCTGACTGAAAATTTTCTGAAAAACGGTACTGAACTAGAACGCATAAACTCATCCTGGCCCCTCTTTGTGACTTCAGCTCTGATCATTACTCAGGGTAATCTTTCTCCACATGTGATTACACTTCCTTGAGGTCTGAGGTCTTAGTGGGGTTCTGAATAGATAAAACAGAGAAAAACCTTAGTCCCTATACAAATTTTAAATGCATATCTTTCACAAACACGTGGGAAGGGAATAGAAGCGTACCTTCTGGTAGGTCTCCCTTCAGGCACTGCTACAGCAGCAGGATCCTGTGACCCTCCAACTGGTGTAGTCCTTTCTGAATGTGGAACGGGCTCAAGCAATCCCCAGTTGAGAGTCTCTGTTTCTGGTTTCTCTCCCTGCTCTTCTGGGTGCAGCATAATTTTGTACTAGGCAAGGGATCCATATCCTCTGCAATATTGTAGTACCTTGTATCTCCTCAAATATACACCTGTGTATTCTGGATATCAGTAATTCTTCGTGTAGATCCACGGAGAGTTTGGTTTTTGCTTAGCTGTACTGGTTTCAAAATCTTCGATATTGTTTTAACTAGGAATAATAATCACAATCTGTTCTGGAGTAATTTTGAATATCCACTATTCAACTGCAAGGAAAAAAAAAAATAGCGTGGGGCCCTAAACCCATTTAACGCTGTGCGCATTAGGACACGCCTTGGTATCGCTACTGCTTCAAAGAACTGATCGACTAGTGGATGGGATGCTCAATCACAGTAAGCAAATGCTTGGCTGCAATAAGCAACGATAAGGTGTACTTCTGACGTTCCCCTTTCCCTGGAGCTGCAGGAAGCCAGCTTGTTGCCTGGTAGACTATAAACCTGGTTGATTATACCAGTCACAGAAGTGCTCTTTTAAATCTTTACTTATTTAGGACTGGTGGGAATGTGATATGTTCTGGCATTGCCACATAGCTGAAACCTAAGTCCCTGCCTGCTCCTCCACGAAGGCTGAGGAGCAAGGTGTATCAGAGGTCTTTTCCAACCTCAATGATTCTATGATTCTATGATTCTATGTATCAATGGGGCTGTACCAACTTCATGCCTGAGGCTCCCTGTCTATCACCACAGCTTTCTGACTGCTTGGGCACTGCCTCAGCAGACCAGGCTCAAGGGAGAAGGAGCGAAGATCAGGCTCCTTTGCATTTGATTTTAATTTGTCATGTTCCTCTAGGACATGTGATGATTACCATTTATAGTTAAAGCAATGTCAACAACTTTCAAATCAAGCTTCCTAACATGATATAAGCTAAGCAAAAAAACAAAACCAAAAAACAACCAACAAACCCACAACCAAAAAACTAACTTTTCGTGGATCTAGATCAAGAAGCAATCTCCGATTCCAGAATCCTACTACAAAGGTGTTAATCTGCTGTTTGACAAGATATCAAGTGATTTGTGGAGGTACAGATCCCTTTATCTCCTAGGTAACTTAATTTACTGAAATGGGGAAATTAGCTCTCTACTAACTTCAGTAACACTGCTATTTATGGCTGTACTGTCTGCAAGGGGTCATTAGCGATTTCTGATGCTGAGCTGTTAAGAGGGAAAGGGGCAGACTAATCTGAGTTTGCCAGAAAACTAATGACGACTGGCATAGCACACAAGGACACACCATGTTGCTGGTCACTTTCAGGGTTTAAATTCCCAAGTGCATCTAAAACCAGAAGTAATCCTCAGAAATTAATGCATTACTTTCTTTCATGTTAGGGCATTGAGAACACTTAAAACTGTTGAAATGCTGAAAAAATGCACCGAGTGAAATATTTGAAATATACAGGTATCTAACCTGGCTTCTAGCATCAGGTGAACCAGATGCGTCATGTTCAAGTTGGGTTCTCACGGAAGTGACAGGAAGGCATGCTTGCAGGCTGAGCATTTGCCCCACGGAAATTAAAAGCACTGAGTGCATCATGGGCATTATTATATACATAGGAGTTTGCACAGTTTGAGTGACTGGATTATTCCTTCTGTTTCTCCGGATGCAAAGGCTGCAGATCGTCCAAGGAGGATAGAAAGGCAGATATTGCGCCTCTTCACTTCATCTCCAGATAGTAGTGAAAGCCTTTTAAACATGTACTTTTTGTAAATTAGCTTCTATGCACATGGGCTATCCATTTCCCAATGCTCCCTCAGGCAAGTGCTAGTCGGGCTAGTGGACAAAACCCCTGCGTATGCAGGTTTTCAGATATGCATCCCAGGGAGCCGGTACTGGCATGGGAAGAGTAAGAGATAATAAAGGAAGGTTTGATTTTCTAATATTCTGAGAAACCAAAGACAGAGCGGAGCTGAATCATCAAGTTATTTTGTAAAGAAATTTTAGCAAGATAATGTTTTTACTTCTTGCTCACCCAAAGCACTGGAATAAATTTTAAGGTTGTCTCTGTCTTTTGTAGGTTCTTCATGAGTACAGCATCAACCTAACTGAAGAGGAGTTATTCAACATTTTGGAATATTATGATAAAACTTTGTCTTCAAAAATATCCTATAATGATTTTCTCCAGGCATTCATACAGTAGGATTTGGTCAAATGCAGGAAACTGTAGATAAAGACAGTGACTGATTTATAATTTCAAATTTCAAACTAATAAATTAATTGAGTATGGCTTTTTTGTATCTATTCATTAGAAAACTCAAAATACTTTAAAATTCCCACAGTGGTCCTGTGTTGTGGATTAAATCTACATAGTGAGGGAATTAATTTTGCATAATCCATTTATCAAAAAAGAAAAAGACAACAATTAACATTGTCAAAATAATGCTTCCTAAGAAGTCTCCAAAAGCAATCCATTTAAGGCAATTCTGGTTTTAATTTTACACATTTTATTAATGACATACTCTTAACTTCAAGTAAAAAGGTTTACAAGACATACTATTGAATTTCCTCAATTGTCATTTTCCAAATATATTGCTTTTAATACATTAGCCTTCATTATTCAAAATATCATCGCATTTCTCAGTGCACCTTTTTCCTCTACTTGCAGTGCCATAGGTGTATTGTCAAAGACAGGTTAATATGGACCGGCCGTTGAAATCTGAGCGGGTGCCAACGGTGTGTGGACACCACACCTTTCTCTCTTAAAACTGTTCTTCTACATCCTTCAGCACAGTTTAGAAAAGAAGCTACTCTACCGATAAGCATTGGCTTCTTTTATTTTATACAATAAACAGTAAAAGTAAAACCTCTGGTTAGATTTTCCATTTCTAGAAAAATTCTGTTTGAACATCTTGTGAGTACTTAGATTTGCAAGTAAAACCTCTGGTCTGATTTCCCATTTCTAGAAAAATTCTGTTTGAACATCTTGTGAGGTACTTAGATCTTGGTGAGGAAATTAAACGCTAATTGTTCGACTGTTGAACTCTTGTGATAATTGAAGGATAATATGATCAACAGAGCCTGCTTTCTGGGATTATATCAACAACTAAACACTTACCTGCTCTGAAGAATTGTTAGATAAATATTTCACTGCCTGGTTCCTGAATTTGTTTTCATCAGTACACCGAAGAACCCTGTCCTCATCACCTGAACTGATTTGGTATCTTTCTTTCTCCCAAGTAACATATAAAGATAAGTCAACAAAAATTAATAAAACAAAAAAAGAGAGCAAGTTATGGGTGTACAAACACACACGCACACACTTTTTTTATATACATATATCTCAAGGGAAGTCTTTGGAATGAGAAAGGGTAGAAGAACGTAATCTTGTTTTTCTTTTTATTTCTAGTGAATGTGTGAACTATTGCAACGAATCTGAAAGATTCACAATGCAGAACATTTTAATGCATGTTTTTTCTGAGAAAATGTTTCTTTGCATTTAGAGCTTTTCAGGAGATATTTTGAAGATTTTGAGCAAAAAGCATTGGGGAGGTTTCAGGTTGGATGTTCTGTATTGTTTCTCTTTTAGCTTCTAAGATTTGTGTAATTTTTATTCTACCATAAAATAAATACATTTGGAATTGGATATATTTGAAATAGTAACACAAAAAATGCTTGCTAGACTTTTTTCCAAAACTGATGGCTATCTGTAAGTCCCTGAAATTGCTGCTTAGATATTTGATTAACAGAGGAGACTGAAACTACTGTTATTTAAGGATGTTCTCCCATACTAAATCAATACAAAAATTCCAAGTTCCATTAACAGAAAACAGCGGGTTTTAAGAACACACATACATATGTCAGCAAGCGACTAAAAAGGGCTGGTCCTGGTTCAGTTGCCTGAACAGAGGTGTGAGTTCGCTATTCCCACCTGGCCTCCCCGGTAGGTCCCGTGTTAACGCCGTCCAGCCCCACGGGGCTGTCGCCAGCATCGGAGGGCACCTCAAGCTGCAGTAGGTAACTTCAGTGCTTCAGCAACTGAGCTGAGCCCAAGAGGGGTTCAGTTTAGCCCCACTTAAGATCCAATTAGCCTATTTTTGTTTAATTTTATCCTTGTAAGTGGTGTGAAGCCTCAAACCGCTCTCTTCCTTAACGGCAACTTCTTTCCTCCTCCCCAGTCAGATGCAACATGCCTGATTTAATTTCTGTTATTATTTCATACAGTTTATGTACTGAATTAATCATTCATATTCATTAAAGAATTAATTGCTATTTGGAATACCTAAGATTATAACACAAATATTACATTAATTATTTTTAAAATAGTGGATTTCACTGTACTGATCTAACCGAGGAGAAGAAAAATAAACCACTTAAGTTATTATTGCGTAACGTTGTTTGGGTTTTTTTGTTTTTTCTTTTCAAAATCTTCTATACTTTCTGTTTGATAATTGGGTCTAATTTTATATCAAATACTATGAGACTTCAATCCCCGCGCTGCTTTCTGGCATGGAGCGTGGCTACCGTGTTTCACAAAGGGATGCAGGAGTTGTGTCCCTTGCTCCACCATCCTCAAGACACCTGCTGCCTTCAGGAGAGGCGAGGGGGCATCTCCAGGTTTCCTGACACATCCTGCCAGAGGATTTTTCATTAGTTCGACCGGCAGGAGTATCAAATCTGACAACTCCGAAGGGATTAAAGAACAATCTTTTTGCTGTACAAACAAATCAAATCATGCTGGGTTTTTTAGTGAGTTCTTAAAGGCAGGGATGGCACTTACCAACTGTTTATCCAACCTCAAAAAAAAACCCAAACAAAAACCCACTGAATTTCAACTGCCAGCGTTTTGAAATAACCGAGGTAATTTTTCATATTAAAAGTCACAAACTGCTGGATAGATAAACTTTGTAATAGAAGAGGGCTTTATTTTTTTGCAACCGTTCCCCCTAACCAAGGGTCAGCCACCCAGCCAGGAGGGGCTGGATGAGATCCCCCGTGTTTCCACTGCGAGGCAGGTAATGTCAGTGGGATTGAGCATTATCCCAGGGTATTGGTCTCCCGGTGCTGTATGTAAATGCTGCGGTAAAGCTGAGGCCGTTGTGAAAATAAAAACATCAGCGCAAAGCCAAGAAATTTCATTTCCAAGCAGAGGACATTGATCCCATGCCTGCTCAGGACCGCCATTTTCTCTGTTGTCCCTGGAGCAGCAGCGTGGGCACGGGGACACCGGCCCAGCTGTCGCTGTGCTGCCCTCGACCCACTGGGCCGCCGCTTTGGGCAGGAGGCGAGGAGTGCAACGCCTCGGAGGGATTTTAGCAGCATGGGACCCTGCCAGCGCTCCATGCGAGGCAGCATCTGCTGCCACCGAAACGCAGCAGCAGCCGGTGATGGCCTCCTCCCTGCCCCTCACTGGCCATCAAGCCACAGGGAGCCATCACTGGCTGTTCCCTCCAGACGTGCCTCTTCTGGGCTCAGTAGAGAAAAGCCCTTAAGCACGGTCTCTCACCTCCCTCCCCGAGGGTCCTACTGTGGGCATTGGGAAGGGAGGCGTTGGCCCTCATGCACAGGAGCTGGGGCACGGCCTCCTGGCTGCAGTCCAGCCCTTGCACTTGGCTTTGCAGTGGGCTGCCATCAAGCATCTGACTGGGCTAATCAAGCTTAATGCTGGCAGACATCCCACGGGGTGTGAAGGGAGGCCAAGCACAGCCTGTAATCAGAGGAGACGTCCACCTTTCAGCAGCCTCTCCAGCAAAGCCTGGAGAACAGCAGACAAGGATCCCAGGGGTTAACTCAGCTGTAGACAACAACCTGCTCCCTTCAAGAGCAGCACCAGGACCCTCCACCCACCCTCAGCATTTCCCTGCTGCTCTGTCCCCAAAACCAGCAGTCCCTGTGACTGCTTATGTGCCTCTTCTGAGCTGGAGACAAAAGGTTTGCTAAGGCTAAAGGAAAATGGGTCCTTCAGCAGCGTTTTAACATTGTTACAAGTTTTATTTCCTTCACTCCAGAGTGGAATAAGCTAATTGAAGGAGAGACTGAAGTCACTAACAAATCTGCTGCTGTACAGGAGCCTCACATCACTGCCAGGTCACCCACCCACCTGACCCCTCTTGTTTCCCCACCTGCGCGTCCAAGTTTCTCTCATTGCTACGTCCCTCAGCAAAACAGCTGCTCATGCATGGCACCTCTAACGGGAGGCTGGTGAGTGGGCACCTCCAGCTCACCACTGCCAAATTATATACACTGACAGTTCAGAAAGCCATTTACAGAAAGAAAACACCACAAAGAAATACTGGTCACCAGCATGGGGAGAAGCCCCCCAGAGCAGCAGCCTGCCCAGAGGGATCAGGTCAACACCAGCACAAGCCTGCACAGCAAGAAAGCTCACACCAGCCAAGTACCATAGGGCTTCCAGGCAGTTAAAATACAATATAATTATCCCTCACCACACAGAAAGTGAATTTCATGTATAAGCAGACTATAGAAGAGGAGATGGTGTCTTTCACTGGATTTTCTTCCTCCCCCATCTTTCCTCTCAGGTTTTTCTCACGCCAGAGCCCCTGTAAATGTGGACGCTCACCAGTAACATGTGCTGCTCATTAGCACATCCTCAAGCCCACCTGAGCTACTTGGCCTCTCCAAATCCCCTGCCCTGAGGCCAGCTTGCTGCCATTGCCAAGAAACAGGGGTTGGTTTGGGGGAGGGGGCAGCTCCGGGAGAGCCCTTTTGGAGCAAGGCAGAAAGGCTAAGGCACAAAAGCTGTTTGCTAGAAGCATGAGGAAGCAGGACAAGGGAAATAAAAGATGGGAATCATTCAGAGGAGGGAAGGAAGAAGAGGTTTGTAGACTCTGTACCGGCTATTTCTACCCTAGGGCTTGGTGCGGAGCCTGCGAGAGCAGAAATAGAGCCTCTCTGTGCTCAAAGGATGAAGTAGGGAAGGGCAGAGGGAGGCCTGAGGCTAGGCAAAGGGACAGAAGAGAAAGGAAAGAAGGAAGAGATTCATACGGGCCATCTTCTTCATCGGCAACTGGCATAAAGCCTCCAAGGCTAGAAATAGGGTGTGCTTCAGAAAAAAAACCCAAACTTCTTCAGAATGCAGTCATTTGTTTGATTAAGGCATTACTGTGTGAAGTGCCTACATCTCTGTGCAATTACTGTTTTTATCTGGATGATATGCAGCAGGTCATGAGCAGTAAGGGATGC